TCCACGAGTGTGGCCCTCGCGCCCGGCTGCAGCAGGGTGTTCCGCATGTTTTATTACGCGATCTGGGCACGCCGCGTGCCGGTGTCGATGTCGGGGATGAGAGTGCGTCGGGGAGCTCGAGCGCAGATCACGCGGCTGAGTGACTTCTGCTGTGCCCTGCCCAGGGCACTTCATTCATCTTGTCTACTGCATTACTCGTCCCGTCCCACATCCATCGCGGGACAATACCAAGTCTGGGCGACAAGCGGTATCAGCCTGTTACGAGGCCCATATGCGCGTCGGGGACGTTTGAGGTGACTGTTTCATGATGAGGTCCCGTGCAGCACGGGAAGCGGCCTCGCCGGACGTCTCGCTCGTAGCGTCAGTCGCATGGCAGTCCATCGCCTCCTGCACCGCTCGAGACAGCTGGACAAATCTGGGCCGCACGGGGGGCTCGACCGCGACATTGTAGACTTTCACAGAGCTCCATCCGCGCCGAAGGCGAGTTTCGTCGCGCTTTTGAGTTCGACCACGGCCGTGCGCGCGGTGCTTGCTCGGGGTGTGGCGTACGCATGAGCCCCGAGTCGGCGGTCTCGCCAATCTTAAGACCGCGCCAATGCGCATTTCAGGCGGCCCGTCAGTGAAGGTAACGTCCACGCAGAGCGGCTCGTTTGTAGATTGTCGCTAACTCCGCGAACAGCGTGCTCTACGCTAACATACATCCTCGCTGACAGATTGCACACCCGCGCTCCATTTTCGCAGCTCCGCCACGCTACTCGCAATGCGTGGACACGCGATGCCGCCGAGGTGAGTCTTTCTATTTCTAATACTATCGGGCAGGAGACTAATCCTGCGTTATGCTTCCTAGACTGCAAGCCCGTACGAGGTGCGCGGCCTCCCGCACAGTCGAGCCCCTTCGACGAGTTCTCGCCATTGTCTGACGGCAGAAACGAGGACGACTTCAACATGGACGCATTCCGCTGGCCCGCCGACCGCTCCATGCTCTACTCCGAGCGTCACGGTACCCCCGGCGTCTTCAGCGATCTCGTCTCATAGTGGCGTCGCGCGGAGCTTTCTCAGTACGTATGGCTCGCGTGCGGGAAAGATGCGGCGCTGATCTGACTCCGCAGCCAGCTTGACACGGGAGGACCGACCGTGTGCGGAGAGTAGTAGCTCATCTCGCAAGCGGGCAGGGCGGCGAATTTGCAAGGGTGCGCGGCGGACGCGCTGTCAAGTGCATTGCTGCGGGACGGTATGTCCTCTTTCATCTGCCTAGTCACTGATTTTCCCAAAGTCGGTCTGTAGGCGTCTTCGGCTGGCCCGTTTCTTAGTCATTGTGCCCATTGCGCGCGGTATTGCGCGGGCGCGCATTGTCCTACCGTGCGGCTCTACTAGTACGCGGTACGTACGGCCTTTTTGCGTGCGGACTAGACACTGCCGCGAACTGTGAATGGGACGGCGAGCGCGTCGTACGGTGCGTACGAGGCCCGCGAGATTCCAGTACAAGACAGCACGGCGCGGGCGCACCTATGTACATACTGAACGAGGCCGAGCGCCGAATGCGCGCATTCGCAGAGGTCGACTCGCCTCCGCCTCGCTATCGCACTCGTCCGCGGGCATGTCGCGAGAAAACCATGTATTCATTGAAATGCTATCTACGTTATGTACATGTTCGCGACGCCTGCGCGCCGCCCTCTGCGAGAGCTCCTCCCGGCCAACCACCGCCCACCGCCCACCTACCGCCCCTCTGCCAGCCGCCCCTCCGCCTACCGTCCAACCACGACCCAGTGCCCTACCACGACCCAGTGCCCTACCATACTTACCTTTTCTTTCTGCAGCTTCTCGTCCGCCCGGCCCACGCCCCGCCCCGTCCGCGCGCCCGGCCCCGGCCAGTCTCGCGGCGTCTCTTGAGGTCGGCGCAGAGCCCGTCCTCGACTGTTCGGAGGCTGTACGACTTGCGCCGCGGACCCCAGACTTCGCGGCCTCCTGTCTGCTCTCGACTTCTGCGGTAATCTCGTCGACCGTCATGAGGCTGGCAGTATCTGAGCGGTCACGCTTGCTGCGCAGCTCAGTGATGTAGCTCATCCGCTTCGACGCGGTAGACAGACGTCTTGACGAGCGGATGGAGCCCTGGCTGTCAGATAGGTTGAGTGATTCTGACAGCGACTCCGAGGGGAAGGCTACTGGTGGCAGGAGGTGCGGGCTCGTGACATCTGGTACGTTGATGTCGACAGAGTTTCCGTCGCCCGTGGACAACGACAACCGTGGCGGCTCCTCGATCTTCGGTGCCTCGGCG